TATCCATTCTAATAACATATAGAATGAATTTATAAGAGAAGGTTCTATGGTTATTATATGTCATAAGTTTAATCTTTTTTTAGATGCTAGTCTGTAGTCCTTAGAGGTACAAGTGATGTGGAATTCCCCTCTGTATGATGTGAATACCATTGGTTAGTAAAGAAACTGCTTGGCCCGATAGGGTAGAACAGAGCTAGACAGGGAAAACTAAACTAAATGCTGGGAGATAGGAGGTAGAGTGAGGAGAATCTATGGAAAGGACACCAGAGACAGACACGTTGAAACCTTGCCGGTAGGCCACGAGCCTCATGATAAAATATAAAATAATGAAGATGGATTAATTCTAGATGTAAGAGCTAGCTATCAGTATGCTTAAGTAACTGGCCAAGCAGTGATGTAATTAATTCAGTTTCTGTGTGGTTATTTTGGGAGTCTGAGCAGCTGGGAAATTAACGCGCTGCCTCCTTACTACATAGAAGTGACATTCTGAAAGACTTCTAGAGACGTAGACCCAATTGTTGGTGCTCTGTACCCTGGTCAAACCATGTCTTTCCTCTATGCAGAAAAGAATATGCTGTGTTAGCAGGACATCCAGATGATGCTGGGATTTACGTAGTCTATTTTTGGCTAGAAACCTTCTTTTCTCCACTCTCGTCTCAGTAATAATCAACCACAGAAATGTTATTGGTACTGTTAAACATACTTTTCTGTTTAACCATGGTGGGAGATGCTACAGTTTAAGTATATTTCATGTTTTGACATAATCAAATTGATTGTGTCACAGTAGAATAGGTAATAAAGCCTTCATCAGCCTTTGGGCTTTGTTTCCCATTGCTGTATAATAATACCCTCATGAAAACAACTTGAGGGGAAGAGCTTATTTGAGCATTAAACTTGAGGTTAAAATACATTCCAATAGGGAAATCACAATAGCAGGAAATCAAGAGAACTGACCACACTAAATCCAAAGTCAAGTGTAGATAACACTGAACTCATGTTCACGTGCTAATACTAATCAGCATGTTTTCTGAATTTGTATTCAGTCAAGGGATCATCCCAGTCTATAGAGGTGGGTTCTCCCATCTAAACTAACACAATTGAGAAGAATGATCCCACTCATTCCTACAGGCTAATCTAAGTCAAAGATTTCCTCATTGAGATTCCCTTCCTATACATCAGCAATCTATCAAACCCATGGAGCAGCTTTCGGTGAACATCAAGCTTAACTGTGCTTAAGAGGAGAGTTAATTTATATACACTCAGACAGCGGCTAATCACTAACAAACATAAAGATGGTACTCATGTATCCAAACATCTTCTTTACACAAGAAGAGAATGTGCTTTTTTCAAGGCATTCTTTTCTAATGTCAACATAGTTAAAATTATGTAATAAGAAATGCATACTATAAACATATAAAAAGTCTTTAAATTTTATGTGTGTACATGTTTCTCTGTATGTATATGAGGATAGTGAATGGAGGTTAAGAGGCCACTCTCAAGTTTCATTCCACAGGCGGTCCATAGACCATTCCTTTGACACAGTGTGCCTCCTAGACTTGCGGCTATCCAATTAAGTCAGGGATCTACTTGTCTTTTTACCTCCCTAGCATGGAGATGATAGTTGTGTTTCACCACTCCCTGGAATTTACATGGATTCTGGAGACTAATATCAGGTCCTCATACAGCAAGCATGTCACAGACTAACCATCTTCCCAATGCCAAGACTTAAAGTCCCAAAATATTTTGCTATGCCATGCAACTACTTTTTAACCTGCAAAACACTCTATGCTATTTTTTCTTATAAATGCTTTAAAAGACTGGTGGTTAAGAAGATTCAGTATGAATTATCATAGTCTTTGAAAATATTTAGTAGGTAGTAAGTTTTTACTAAATGAAATGATACAGGATATTTATCACAGCACCTTTATCTCTAGAGCTATTTTTTTTACAGACATGGCTTCTGGTATTCCAGCATTGATACTAATTTTCTATATACTTTAGAAAAATATTGAACTTCTGATACTCTTCGCTAGTGTGTGTGGTGTGGCCTTAAGGGAGTACATCAATATACCTAGCTTAATAAAGAGGAAAGGACTAAAGCCACGGCTTCTTGAATATAAAGGCAGGCTTTCTACCATCTGCAATCCATCCCTGGCCCTCACAGATCATTTATCCATATTTCTATCCAGGATTCCACTATGATTTTTATGTTCTGAAGCCAACCTAGAATATAATTATTGGTGTGAAATGAAAGAATATCTGTTTCTGTCTCACTCCTTCTCTTCTTTTTATAATATGATAGATGAACGAAAATTACTTTATCCGAAGATGAGTGAAAAGTTAAAGAGATATTGTGCTATTGCTCTTTGGCAACATTGTTTTAAATCATCTGGTAAAAGGAAACCCAAAGCTTTAGTAATCAGAATCACGTGAAGGTCTTTAAACATGTTACTAATCCTCCCCCAGAGTTGCCATTCAACACACCTCAGGTGCAGTCTATGATTTGCAGTGAAAACACCCAAAGCACCATTATTAGATCAAATACACATTAATAGGCTAGTACACTTAGATGTTTAAATAACCATGCTTATTTTTATTAGATTATAATTAGAACAAAGCTCATAGCTCTGTATGTGATATAATTTTTAAATTATCATCCTCTTTTGTAGAACAATAAAATACCAACATGAACGTCATATCTTTGTAAGCATAAACCCAGTCTTATCTAGATGAAATTGCAATATTTACTCCTTATTTTAAAGAGATCGCCAGACTATTTATCTCTCCAAGGTAGAAAAAGAAAACTTTCCCCAAACTCCTCTTCATATGCATAGTTAGATGTCTTCAGGCATCCCTCACGCATTATCACTCATAATAGAAAGTGTTTATTGTGCAGTTCATAACAGAATTGCAGTCATCACGCCAACCATGTGACCTAAGGTTCAACCATTCTAGATGCTTACAGAAATATTTTGACATGACTGTCAACCTCTGAACAACAAATCAAATATCTGAAAAAGTCCACAATGCACAGAATTTTCATGATTTATCTTATTACATAGTTCTTTGAGTCACATGCTAAAAGGAAAGAAATAATAACTTATAAATGAACACCGATTTTCTAAGAAACTATCCCTTAGGTTTAATAAATTATTCATCTCAAGTAGGAGAAGACAAGATCTCCTGAGCAAATTGGGAGTGTGGGGATCATGAGAGAGGATAAAAGAAGGAGGGGGCAGAGAAAAATATAATGCACCATAAAAACAATTAAACAAAAATAAGTAAATAGATAAATTATTCATTTCTACAAGTGTCCAGAAATTTTATAGCGCTATATAAGTTAAAGATTACTTTTGAATGATAGTTATATTTTAGCATAACAAGAAATATCATTCAACTGTCATAATCATAATTAATATATGCAATGAATCCAGTGGCTAAAACATATTTGGATGTGACATAATTTTATTTTAAAACGTTTGCCTTTATTTTATAAGTCATGATGTTATCAGAAATGAATATGAGGAATTTTTAACAACTTCTTTATATATAGAAAACATAATTCAACTAGTTCAATGTATATAATAACAAGAGGATTCTACTATTATAAAAATTTCTGAAAAAGGAATTTCCTCCTTTTATTCCTAACATAATCACAGAAAATTGATGAAAGGCCCACAAAGATTACTGTGTAAGTCTGCAAATTTTACTTGTATTATCTAATTTTTAGATCTCTAATTCTAGCAGTCAGCTTTTTTCCCTTAACCATCTTATTTTCAAAACTCATCCTCCTGGCATTACTTATATGTTAGTAGCAATTTAGTCAAAAAAAGCTATTTTTCAGTAGGACAATTATCCTGTAAAAAAATGAAGTAGTAAGATTGGTATAGAAACCAATACATTTCTAATACTAAGTATTTACTGTAATTCCATCAACTCTAAAGTAACTCTGTCCTAAAAACTGATATTATCATTATTCATTTCTGTTCCCCAAATTTCCCAGTTTTATGTTACATATCTGGATTTTTGTGAAATTAAAATTTTTATCTTTAAGCCTGTATCCTACTTCATATATTGTGCATATCAGAAAGTTGTCTCAATAAGTTATCATTGTTAATCATATTTATGGAAAACTCCCTCAAAGTGTTTAATTTTTTCAGAGTGCACAAACTTCACTGAATACACTCAAAATAAAGACAATCATCAGCATAAATCACTATATATTTGATATAGTACATGCATATATGTTAATAATTTTAAGTAACTTAATAATGTGAGCTACTGGTAGATTTGAATGTTTTATTTGGGGCATTTTAGATATATTTGGTAAAATTCTTGATTATTTAAAATAGTATTCCATCTAAGTTTATATGAGCATTAACAAGCATGAACTAAAAAAGAATTGCTGCGAAGTTTATTATCTAGATGTTAATCTAGTTTATTAGTTTCATGTTGTTGCAAAGCTGAGAAACTCTCATGGATGGCCCCAAAGTATGCTGAAAACTAGTGATGGTGTTCAGTGAACTACTAAATGGGAGAAATTGAAACATTAGACTGTTTCCCAAAACTCGGTGATCCTCTTTAAAAAAAAAAAATCTAAAGATTAATTGAACTAGATGTAATAGCTTGGGCATCGCTAAGCTCTGACAGGCATGAGCACTGTGTTTTTATCACAGAGGTTTGATGATCTGGTCCACCATTCACCTGAGACCACCAAACAGCATTCTTACACCTGTTTCCTATCTCTGTTTGCAGTTGGCTGAGCTTTTCTTAGAGTGTGTACTTCTGTTCAGCTGAGATACAACATTCTGCTATCTTCCATCCGGCACTTACATCTGTAAATAAAAGTGAGGATACCAGAGAGGCATCATTTCTCATGAAATGAGTGCATACCACTGACTTAGGAATCCCAGACACTTCCACACCTGAATGTCAGAAACCTCACGTATGCTCATGTGCGCAATATATCATGTTATGCATTAGTGTCAAATTTTTCTTACCGGTCAGGTTCTTCAATCCAAGTTCTTGAAGTCCAAAGTTGCCATCTTTTCTGTAGTTTAGGAATATCGCTAAGGCGTAGCGATCTTCATACAGCTTTGTTCCGCGAATTATGCGTAAATTCTCCAGAGGAAGATACCGAAACTGGTTGAGGGCCACCAGGACGTAGCCTGTGACTTCTCGGATAGACTGAAAAAGCACAAACAATTGTCTGTGTTAAGAAAGAAGGAAATCAACTTGACAGATTGTGTGTATAGTCATTTAAATAAAAATAAGTTATTTAATTCTAATTGTCAGCTCCTAATGTACTAACTTCCACATGCTATTCATACTCATTGGATTACTAATAGAGGATCACAAAGTGTTAGAATATTATTTGAATACAAGTATTATTTATTTTTAAAAGTCATGTATATTCTTAAAATAAAATAATGGATTTTGTTTTAGGAGACATTCCTTAAACCTGAGGTGTGAATTTAGTTAAAGAAATACAGGTATCATTCATTGTTAGACTACAATGATGTGACATAAAAATGCTCAGTCAATCTACAGATGAAAATGTATATTGGCATGTCTACAAAAATAGAATTAGTCTACATTCCTTGTAGACACAAATTTAATGGTTATATGGCTGTTTAGTACAATATTTATCACTTTGGAATTGTAGCTATTACTGATTTTCCTGAGGTCACAGTCCTTGGAGTAGGAACATAAGAATAAAAAGGAAAGACAGGTGGACTACCTTAGTAAGACTGACCATGGTTGGTACAATACAACATGCAAGCATCCCTATCCCACAGAGTCTACCTGGGAACATTATACCAGTCACTCTTGCTTTGACTGAATTGTTAACTTCAAGTTCTTTAAAGACAAGGTACTTTAACATCACGTGGCCTAAAAGGCAACATTTTTTCATTAATTACAAAAATGTATTTTAGCTGGTATATGATCATGGTTAGTGTTCTATATACAATGAGCACTAAAGGGAAATCGGAGTCTTTTCTGTATGAACAATCTTTCTCTAGAGTAAATCATTCTGTCATCACTGCTCCTTGAATCCCTCCAATCCCATTCAGGAGGGACTCTTCTTACCAAAAAATTCAAACCCCTTGTTGATTCCAGCAAGGGATGTACATTACTACTAGGGAGACTGTAATTGAAACAAACTCAGGGTGAAAAGAAACGGTTCTTATCAAGAAGCAATAACAATTATGCAGTGCTTATTGGATGGAGAGTGTTTCTAGCTCCTAATTGACAAGATGTGCAATTTGCTACAGTAGAAGTTACAAATAGTGTATAAGTGGTTAGAACTTTTGCTTACCCAAAGAATATGATATATAACAAGAAATAAATGTTCACAATTAATCGAATAAGATCTCTTAAATTAGTTACCTTTCTAGAGGGCTTAATAAAAATAATTGTTTCTTGCAAAACTATTAGATAAATATATTAAATCTAAAGGCAATACACAGTACCTTGATTTAATGCTATTATGTTTCTAGAAGTTATAATACATTTTCCCACATATTTCAGGTATCTGTAATACATATTTCTACATATTTTAAAGCTGCTTCAATGGACAAATATTCTGAAATATTTCAAAAGGAAACTGATTCAGATCACAGGCTAAGACATATATGCCACATGCAAACAGAATCTCAGGAAACAGCTCAAAGGCAATGGGATTTCCCAATGCTTAAAAGAACTCAGTAAAACACTCTAAACTAATATTGATCTGTCTGAATCATAGAGATTGATATCTAAAGTTGTAAATTAAGTGTTAATCTTTCTCATAGGATTGTATAATCATGTCAGTTCTTTATTGTTTCTGGCTTTAAGCCATTAGAAAAAAATCTGTTACATAACATTTTTTATTGTTCTGAAACTTTATTATGAAAATAAGTATGAGTTTGGACTATATGGGTTGAGGGATGTGGGCTGGCCCAACAGGGAACTTTGACCTTGATATCTAGCCTTTGTCCTTACTAGTTGTGTAAACTTGATGAAGCTTTTAGGTCTCTGAAGTCTTCATTACAATACCTCTATGGCAAAGCTGTTGTAAGCATTGTAAGATAAAACAGTTTATAGAAATTGTGTTTAATAGATGCTAGCTATTACAAATATTACCTCAGAAATTAGCCAGGCGGACAAATAGCCTCAGGACAATGAGCCTGAGGTAAAATGGTCATAATATCGTTGCATAAGAGAGCTATTATTTTAATCTCTCTGCTATGTAATCTTCAGCAAACTTATATCTCCCTCTTAAATTTGCAACTTAATTCTAAAATTCAGAAATGCCTCCCATTTTTCATATGCATGTTCCAGCTCTCAGTGCTGACCATGGCATTCAATAGACAATCAACAAAGGCTGCTTGTTAGAGTGAATTGAAATCTAAAAGCAAGGCTTTTAAGTCTTGTAGCTTTTACTTTCCAAACAAAATGACTTTGTGAGCTTGCTGCTAATAGGAAACTTTGAAAAACGAATTTGTTGTCTGTGCCAATGGACCACTGTAGCAAACAGAGCTCACTGGAACGACCATTAAAAGAGAAAATTTTCACCATGGCTTTAAGGAGATTTAGGGTCGGAAACTCCTTTTGTCTCTCCAAAACCAAAGGGTACAGCCACCTAGAGATGCACCATCCTCCATAAGGGGTTTGCCTCTTTTCAACAAGATGGATTGTCTTGTTGCCTGCATTGGCTCTGAAACACCTTTGCTCAGGGAGTGAATGAAACTGAAGTTCATTAAGGCCTGAATCCTTGAGAAATCAGCTAACCCATGAGAATGTACCTTCACTCTTAGTATTTAGGGAAAGAAATGAAGAATAGATATAGATCTATCTTCTGGCTAACTATGTCATTCTTGTACCTGCAGGGTACTCCAGAAAAAAAAAACTGTCTTTATTAATTTCAAACTTCAAGTCCTTTAAACAACTGTTTTTTAATTGATACACCTCCTGATTTAATTTTTCTTCCTTCTGTCCTTCCCTGTTTTCCTTTCTCTTTTGTTCTTTTTTTCTCTCAACATTACCTTAGAGAAAAATAAATAACAGAGTCTCAAACATGTCTTTGTTTATCTTAAGTTTTATCTTAACCAAATCCATGCTTATTGATCTACTTTCATGTAAGCATGGAGAAGCCTGCCAGTTATCATTTATACCTGCTTAAAAGCATCTCTGGTTGTTAAACTACTTTGGGATTGTTCTACCGCTGTGCTTTATGTCCTCAGACCCAATGAGAAATCACCGCAAACACTAACGCATTCTGTGAGTAAGGACATCCATAGATACATCAGTGATTAGTTTGGTGAACAGACTGGAAAAGAAATGACTGTGACAGTATGAGGAGTAGGAAGGCAGAAAACCCTAGTGACAGGAGAGAGGATGTTGAGGGGTAAGAAGCTCCCACCCATGGTGGTGGATGCAGAATTAATGCTTCCTCTGATGCTGGCATGTGCAGGAGCAAACCGTTGCTTCTGTATCACTAAGATTTTCTGTTAACTTCCTTAAGGCAATTGCTTTCTGTCCCTGCCCGCCTATCATATCTGGGAATATCTAAAGCAGACGCATTCTTAACTGTGACATAACATTAAGAAGTTTACAAGAAAAAATTAATAAGCTTATGATGTGCATTGCATATTCTTTTCGTTTGTAAAGATAATTGTTTCACTTTGGGATTCTGCTTTCAGTTTCCCACTGTTTGAAACATAACACTTATAACACTCTGAGGAGCAGGGACTCAATATCTGATCTAATTAGATTTGGGCCAAAGAGCATGTGGAATGTCATGTACCTAACGGCAGTAGAGTAAAATTCTGGCTCACTGGACTCCACGTGAAGCAATACTGATGGTTTAGAAAACCCGATCCCATTCATCCAGCAAAACTGCACTCATCTCCTATGAGCCAGTTTCATTTGCTAAGCCTGACCTGATACACGGAACCTGTGGGCCTTACAGTCAACATGGACTACTTAGCCATCACTCAACATGAACATGCCTTATATTGGCAATGAACACATTTAACCATTGTAAACAGGAGTGCTTCTCTCTATCTCCAGAAATAACCATCTTTCCTGTGTCCTTTATATTGTCCTGATCAGTGTGCAGAAAACTTATTAGGTCTGTTTCCAGTAGGTTCTTTGTTCCCAGACCATATATAGACTATATCACCTATCCATTTAGATTTGTTTAATTATATTTGGCTCTAAAATACCTCTTCACTGCCAATACCTACTAAAACAAAAAACAAACAAACAAACAAACAAAAAAAAACAACCTGTAAAGAAATGGTCGAAAACCAAACTGAAACTAAAAAAAATATACATGTAAAAAGCAGCAGTCTCTGCCAATCTTAGAAATCAAGCTCAGTGAATTATAATATAGCAACTAATCAAATATGCTCATAAGACAACTGTCCGCCAATAAGGGAAATGTAGAATAATAGTAAATCAAGTTCTTCCTTTACACCATTTCCATTACCTGCCTGAAAACACCACCTTCTGCTTTTTTTGGGTGTTCTCTGAGCTTGCCTTCCTTCTGCAGAGCCGCTCATGAATTTACAAATTATTCTTTGCTCAAAATCTCAGCTCTCTTTCATTTGCCTAGAGATACCCCTAATGGATTACACAAATTGAAATGTGAGCTATAGATACCTTTATTTAACAATATAAGCATCCTGATTTTGAAGTATTCTTAGAAAGATTTATGGCCTTACAAATATTATAACCTATAATTAAATATTTATATGTAAATTTACTTTCTTTATTATATTACAGGTGAGCTTATATTTTACAATCTCAATTTAAAATTTGTATTTTAACTTTTTTGAAATTAAGTATTTATTAAATTAATATTTTCATGTCAGATATATACATTAGCGTAGCAGGCTTTCTTTACCACCAGTCCCCAAATCATGACATGGAGACGTATTATTACTTATGAATGTTTGGCTTTAGTTTAGGCTTATTCCACTAGCTATTATAATTAATTTGTTTCTCTTCATATACATTTGCCTCAGGGCTTTTCTTTTCTTTCATTTTCTATGTTCTTCTTTCCTACTTTCTCCATATCTGTCTTGCAGGTTGCTGGTTGACTGGCTGGCCCAGGGTATCTCCTATTTTTCTGTTTTTCTTTCTGCCCACCAGCCCTGCATATCTCTCTACTGCCTAAATTTTGGCCATTCAGCTTTTTA